GGACACATCGTCTCTGTGGTGGAGGACGAGGAGCAGGAGGGTCAGTTACGCTACGTACTGCTCCGTCCGTTGGACTCTGCAGCTCCGACATTGGGACACAGCTATGGACTCTGGAATTTATCAGCTGACCACCGCCTGCATTTGTTGACTGATCCCAAATCAGATTGGCAGCATGACAATCATTCACATGCCAGAGATTTTTTGGACAACATTTGCCAAATCCAGCATGTAGAGATATCAGTATCAGCAGTATCAGCAGTATCAGCAGCGGCTCTGACAACATGAAGTGATTATCAATATCTCTTAAAGGGTAACTTTGGTCTTTTCAACCTGGACTATTTTCTCATGTTTTTGGTTATGTAATGGAAACAACTATTTCTGAAATGGTCTGATATTAAGAGACAAACAGGCAAGGAAACCTCTGTGAGCAGCTGAGCACCATCAGTGTACGTCCACTAAAAATGTTTGTTTCAGTCACTGACAGGCTCGGACTGTTATTCTAGGTGTTAAAAAAAAAAAGCAAAGGATTCCTGCACTGATAGAGCTTTGTGTTAAAGAGTAAGATCCCCAAAATCACCATCACCAAACACACACAGTTTAAATAAACTGTGATTTAATCATCATTAAACACACTTCATTCAAAGTCAACACAAACAAAATAAAACTCACAGAAACCATCTTGGTTCATGTTTCCACTGTTCCAACAATCACCAGCTCTGGTTTGGTTGAAATTAACCCTTAATTCACCAGTTAGATGTGACAACATGCTGCCTCTATACACACTAACATGACTGTGTATTTAAATGGAGTCTGGTGAGTTTGGTGACAGTGATTTGGTGATCGTCTTCTTTAGTGTCCAGACCCTTTCCTCTGTCCTGGAGCTAATATTCAACAAGCCACAGGGGTAGAAAACACACTGGACCTGGTATACACTCACATCTGTGAAGCATATGAAGCCGCCCCCCCCACTTCAGCCAGTTGGACCACTTGTCATTCATGCTGCTCCCAGCATACAGACCACTGTTAAGGTGCTCCAAGCCAGCACACAGCACCACCAGAAACTGGTTGGAAGGAGCTACTCCAACCTGCAGGACCACTTTGAGACCACAGACGAGGAGTATGTTCAGGGAGGCAGCACACACACACACACGTGTAGAGGAGGACACAGATTCTGTGACTGGATACACAGAGAGGTGAATTGAGGATGTCACCTGTTTAAAGCCTGTCACTCCATGAGCCAAGCAGAAACCATGGCTTACAGCTGAGGTCCGTAAACTGCTGAGGGCACCGGACGCTGCCTTCAGATCAGGGGAATCAGGCGTATGTGGCAGGACATTCAGGCCCTAATGGACCACAGAACATCTGGACAGGTTAACAACAGTGACATGGATGCATTAAATAGCATGATTTGAAGCCCAGAATGACACACTGGCATCTGGCACCCTGCCCACTTCATCTGGACCGAGGCGACATGAGGACGACCCTATCCAGAGTCAGCCCACACATGGCTGCAGGACCAGACAGCACCCCAGGGCATGTGCTCAGATGCCCAGCCAGCTGACGTCCTCTCTTCAACATCTCCCCGAGCCAGGCTTCCAAGAGGCCACCATCACCCCCAAAAAAGCAGACTGTGACACTATCGCACTCACTCCCATCATGATGAAGTCAACGGACAGTAATGGGACATATCAGATCTTCCCTCCCCACCTCACTGGCCTCGCTTCAACCCTGCACCCTCGCTGTCTCACCCGGACAACACAAACAGCTACACCACAACACTATTTATTGACTTTAGCTCAGCACGTAGCACAGTCATCCCTCAGGAGAGCTGGCAGGTAAACTCTCCATGCTTGGCATCAACACATCCCTCTGTGACTGGAGTTTGGACTCTCTGATGGAGGGAACACAGTCAGTGCATATTAGCAACGGGACATCAGGCACCGTCACGCTGAGTGCAGGAACCCCCCAAGGCTGTGTGCTCGGCCCGCAGCTGTTTATGCTGCTAACTCATGACTGCACTGCCAACAAACTCCAATCAAACTCAACAATCAACAAACTAATCACGTCATTAAATTTACTGGTGAGCTGGTGCAGAGAAAATGACCTTTCTGTCAATGAGGACAAAAACAAAAGAGATAGTGGTGGACTTCAGGAGGACGGCATGTGATCAGGAGCTCCTGGACGTGAGCTGGGGTCTCGTTTATAAAACAATGTGTAGGATCCATACTAAAAATGTACGTACGGACAACAGCCCCCAAAAAAGTTCAGGCTTCCACCTCACCATCTGCGTCACCAATTTCCCGTTTACAAAATGTTCGTAGGCATGAGTCAAAGTTTCTCTCATCAAGTCTTTTTGTATCATCCTGGTCTCACTCCAAAGTCGTCAAAATCCGGTGCTTGGGTAGTGACTTGCGTCAGACACCGACGAAAAAAGCCGTCCTTTAATGTCGGCACGATAAGTGGTCGGTCACCGTTATAGTTTAACAGTGCTTAGCAGCATCAGGGAGAAACGCAGCGAGACAATAATGGAAGTTAAGGTGGCGAAAGTTCAAGTAGACCGGGAGGGAATGGTGGTGGATGGGTTCATAAGATTATAAACCCAACCACGTGTGTTTGTTGATGGAGGAAAAATAATGCCAGTTGGCGGTGTTGTACCAATGTAGTGCTTTTATTTTGAAAGAGACTGTATGCAAACTGTACATTTCCTGTGATAACAGAAGTGTATTTTGAAAACAGACAATGCATATAACAGGCTGAAGTTGACACGGCATCCCAGAACGTCAACAACCAACACACCCAGGGTACCTTGGACGCCATATGTGGACGTGGAAAGTCCATGAGCAAATGTCAATATGTGACAAGGACAGAGTGAGACAGACATAATTTTAGATTTGGTCGAGTTTAAGAGCTGTTTCAGATCTGTAAAGGTGTGTTGTACGCACCATGTCAGGTCACTCACTCTCCGGGACCGCCAGTGTTACTTGAATAAGTAAACATTGACCAACGGGACCAGACTGGTCGACCCGTATGCTCTCACTCAGTGGATGGATGATGTCACAGGAAGCCAATCTTACAAAGGAGGACCACACTTGTTTGTTTTGCTATGGAAGCTAACGTTAGCTAATGTGCTAAAAAGTTAGCGTTTCAGAGAAATCCAATTTTCCTCTTAATCCCTCCCCAGTTTCTGATGAGGTGGACATGATAACCCTTAATACACATAACCTTATTCATCCCTACAACAGGAAATACTTTTTCCCTAACCTGATATGAAGTGTGCGCTGCACATGTGAGCATTTTTGATGATGGCCTCCGTCCAGTCCTTTGGTCTTATCACATTTAACCATAGTTGTCTTTGTTTTTGTTGACGGGCAGTGGCGGCTGGTTTTGAGCCATGACTCCTTCTATTCTGGCTCCCAATAACACAACAAGACAAACACATTTTAACACTCCTATGGAGCCTACAGCCCTGTGGGGGAGAGGCAGCTGCACCTCCAGCTGATAACATGATGTCATCGTGACATCAGCCCTAAAAGGGTCTGTATAATATTCACTCCTCTCCACTCACCTATTTTTATTTGTATGAGTATTCTCAATGCACTTTATTACACTTTAATGTTGTCGTGTTCATGTTGAACGTCTCGTTTGCTTCATGGTCTTTACTGCACCTGGATTCATGAGTAACAACATTTCTTCTCTGTGTGCTGCTGTGTTTGTAGTAAATGTGAGTGAATGGAATTTGAAATGTGAGAGTGAAGTCGTACCGGCAGATTCCTGCAGCTATAATTACTCACTAACATCACACTTCCTGATGGATGTGATTTTGGGTTTGTCCATAGCATTATTAAATTAATTCTATGGAAGTGTCTCTGAAAGCAGCGGCAGTTTACTCTGGCTTTGAATGCTAATTTATTAATTTCCTAAAGTTTAACTACCAGTACAATACGGGCCCATCTCTACCAGGAAAATAAAATAACAGTTGTGCATGATAAATATAAAAAATGTAGTCACAGTTATAAATTGACAGATGTGCGGGAAAAAGTGAAATTTTTGCAACACCAAATTATGAAACAGACGTCTTTTTTGAATAAAGATTTGGACTTATCAGGTCAAATCATGATATATTACATTATAAGAAAGTAAAAAAATCAACATAAAAATAAACTTAGTACAATAAATTAAAATATGACTGTGCTGACTGGTGCTGCGATATAATTTTTAAGTCAAATTTTTGAAACTCATAATGAACGTCAAAATGAGATACTTGCAAATCAAAATAATCATGGTAGGCTAAGTGACCTTTTTGACACTAATGAGCTTCCATAACTTCTTGAGATAATTAATTTTAGCTAAGTCAAGTGAAGAGACTCAAAATTATGAGCTAATAAATAAAAATGAGCCTTAGCCATAAAGTCAATATAAGATACTTGTACGTCAAAGTAATCATCTTAGGTTATTTGACATTTTGACCCAAATAAGATTCCATACATATTGAGTTCGTTAATTCTAATTAAGTCACATTTTTAGGACTCTAAATGATGAGCTACTGGGCGAAGAAAGAAGCGCCTAAGCTAAAACTGTAATTAAGTCAAACCTTTAAAACCCGAGCGAGCCTCCATACCTGACACATGAAACATGCCTCCTGAAACAAAGGGAGGATCCACGCCGCTCAGGCCTCCGCTGACTCGTCGATCACTCCGTCAGCGCGCTCTCTGATTGGCTGTGTGCAGCTGTTCACGTGAACCTGGCGTGGGTTTCGCTGCAGGGAGACAAAAGTGTGCAACGAGTTTAAAATGTGAGGAGACAGGAGCTCGAGACCAGAGCGGCCACACCGACACCATCAACACCGGAGCGATGGTTCCCACACACCGGAGAGCTGCCGCGTGACGTCAACGGAGAATAACCGTCCAGGTGACTCCAGGTGTCTCCAGGTGACTCCAGGTGTCTCCAGGTGACTCCAGGTGTCTCCAGGTGACTCCAGGTGACTCCAGCTCCAGGTACCTGCTGCACTCTATTTTAATGAGCTCATGAGTTTCAGCCGGTTTGCTTTAACAGTGACTTAGTTTTATTTCTGTAATATCTGAGCAGCCAGTTAAAAATCAATATCATGTGCGTGACGTCGCGTCCCACAGGTGTGTGAGGCTGACCAGCAGGGACAGAGGTGCAGAAATGACACCGTGTCATTATTAAAACCTGCGCAGCGTGCAGAGGGGTGTGTGCTGTCTGCAGCACCAACATTTTTTACAGTGGACAGGTTGTGGAGAGACTTCCGCACTACCTGTGTGAGGATTAAAAGACTCCTACGACATATGAAAAACGCTTGAAAACAAGGTCACAGATATTAAAGACTCCAGAGTTTCTGACGTCACTCAGCAGCAGGTAGGCTGCAGGATTTTAACTTTTGAGTAAAGTCATTTCTGTCTCTCCGTCCTGCTGGACTTTGACCAGAGGTGCTGCTTTCTCCTCTTACTTTGCTCTAAATGTGTGTCCGTGTTGTAGTTTACATGATGCACCTGATCGCAGCTCATTTCTTTGGGAGAATCAGGTCATTAAAGTTATCAGTTATTTTAAAGGAAAACTTCACCCACAAAATGAGCAGCTCAGTGACTCTGTCGTGTGTACGGCGAGCACAGGGTCCAAAACAGGAATTAAAGTTATCAAGGTCAAAACTTTATCAAAACAAACTCACACACACCTCCTGCAGCATGATCAGAGTCTGATTTATCCTGTTGTACTTTGACTTTCCACTAAAACATCACAACAGAAATCACTTCCTCTGAGGAGCGGCGTTCCCTGAGCCTGTCCTGGCACGCTGCTCAACCCCAAGACAAATGTGTTTTTAAACATTTGATTCCCGTGTATGTGACTTAGGAAAGAAGAATGTGATGTGAATGTCATGTGATGGCTATAAATACCAGCTATTGACACACCTGTACCAGTTTTGATCCGGTTACAGAGGCCGTGAGTGGGGAAATAAATTACACTGTGTGAGTGTGATTTTAAATCGTTTTCTCTCCTGTGTTCATGTTAAAGAACAAGTGGAACAAAAACGTCTTGGCTGGATAATCTCTCAGACCCTGTGTCCTCATGAGGACGTCACATTTTGGGTTTACTGGACCTTATGATACATTCTACTTAAAGGAAATGACCACTTTAGAAGGAAAATACAGACAGTACTTACTGACCCTCATGCCGACAATAAGTCCAGTGTAGTTTTTAATCCACAAAACTCGTTCGGGGTATCAGAGGATAACAGCTAGCCGGAATAACAGCTACCCCTGAAGTGCACGGAACCCACATTTTGAAAATGTAATAAAACTCCGCTAATGCATTTCAAAAACATCAGAACGGCTCGTCCGTTGTAATCCAAGTGCTCTGAAGCTGCAGGCTGCTGTGTTTACATGGCAACGTGCGCTAGACTCGAGAACTATCACCACCACTAGCCATCAGCTAGAGTAGATTACGTCTTTTCAAGTCAGTTTTGTCGGTAGTCCAATGTCTTGTCAGGTTCCGCTGTTTCACGTGATATGCGTGGATTCTCACTATGACGAACGGTCGCAGAGAAAATCCATAGAGAAGAACAGGTGTGAGTTTGGATGCACTATTCGTCATCGTTCAGGCCAATAGGATTAAACTCATTTAATAGTTTTAATAATTTCAGTCCAGCACCTTTGGAACCAGCAGTAAGCCTTCAGACATGGTACCTAGACCCTCGGTTTGTTCAGACAGTCCTCTTAAATGTGGGCGGGGTTGTTGTCACTCACTGCTCCGTCCAGCACTCGCTGTATTTCCTCATCAGCGGTGACACAGATGGAAGTCTGCACCTGGTTTATCGTCCACAGAACGAGGCTGCACGCCCACATTTTCACAACAAAATAGAACAGGCTGCAGTGAGAGTCTCTCTCCATGGGATATTTAAAAATAGCAGCTTTGTGCATTTAGTCCTTCTCAGGCAAGCTCAGGGGTTTAGTGTTGCTGTAGCCCACAGGAAGTGAGGATTAGAATATATGACCTTCACATAATCCGCTCCAAATTTATCTATATTTTTAAAGTCATTACTAAAAGTGTGTGTCATATAAAAACTAAAGTGATGTTCAAAGTTGTCACAGTGAAATTTAAGGTGTGCTGATGGATTCACGTCATCAACTCATGCATTGAGTAACATTACAAGTTAACGTTCCACCTTAAAATTTGCCGGCAGTCGGCCCAGTGAATGATGTTATTTTTTTCTCTTTCATTTTATAGTTGTTGTTTACTGATGTATGAACAGAGGTTACATAAAACCAGAGTGAGCGTCCTCTACTGACCAATCAGACTGCAGGGTTTCTAGCTCCACCTTTTAGTACCAGATCTGTGTGCTAGGTACCCCAACAGAGGGGGGACCAAACATGGGGACGCTAAGGAACGCTTCTGTTGTGACCATCCACAACTTTCACTGTGGGAATGGAAAAAGAGCGAACTGAACCGTACTGCTCGATGGAGACGGGGCTTAACTGTCATCTCTTTCTTTCAGCTAGAAATATATTTATTGGCATGACATGACACAAACATTACATTAACAACAGATTTTTTTTCTAAAACCTTTTTTCCCACGTGTTAATTAACAGATTAAGAAACAGTTTAGATCAAACTTAGAAAATGGATCACCAGAAGTTGTTTCTCACTTGCCTCTTGGGGCTTCTGTATCCGGTTCATGACCTCACTGGACTTTGATCAGGAGCGTATCTGTGTTCCTCAGGTCGATATGCTCTTGATATGACACATTAAAGAGACCCTTCAAAGGGTTAAATGTTCTCAGAGATGTTTCCCTCGGTCAGATGTTTCGTTTTTTGTCTCGTTGCAGGTCGACATGGTAAAATCACCTGCAGCTTATATCCTACTGATGTTATACTGTGAAACTACGCCCTCAAATTTGACTTGACTTTAGACTTGGTTTCTCCACAGTGGCAGAACAGATTGTTACTATTAAAACTGCATTTGAAAAATCAATCTCCCTTCACTCTTTTGCAATTTGACCCGTGAAGCTATCTCTCACCAGTCTGTCTCAATATTAGTTTATATCTTGAGAGATAGGACCCCGGGGACATTTCATCAAACCAACTCAGAGCTTTAAAACACCCTAACAATCATCTGTCCTCTCTGTGTTTCAGTGCACTGTTCCTGTTTCCTCCCGAGCCCACCATGCCGATCGACATGGCATTACCTCTGTACCTGTCCAAAGAGGAGTTTGTCTACAGGACGTCTCCTAAAACATGCAAACCTGCCCTGAACTCCTGCCTGAGGTTCCAGCCCTCGCCCTGCGTGGAGCAGATGGAGCCCGCGGATGGAAGGTCCTCCAGGAAAGACTCGAGAAAAGCCAAGAAGCAGGTGACGTTTGCCGACCACAAGGGGCTGTCTCTAACCAGAGTGAAGCTCTTCTCCCAGTTCACCGATCCCATCGATATTCCCGTGAACATCCAGGAGATGCTCAGCTCTGCTCTGTCTCTGACGGCTGGGGAGGACAAACTGGTGCTGGACTTCACTCAGCCCTCCTCAGACTACCTGCACTTCCGTCAGAGCCTGGAGAAGAACTTTGTCTGTCTGGAGTACTGCGTGTTGAAGGAGAAGTCCTTGGCGGGAACCGTTAAAGTCAAAAACGTGTCCTTTGAGAAGTCTGTGAAGCTGCGGGTGACATTCGACAGCTGGAGGAGCCACACGGACGTAGACTGTGAGTACATGAAGGACACGTATCCCAGCTCGTACAGCGACACCTTCTCCTTCACCGTGTCTCTGCCGGATCAGCTGATGCCTCACGAGCGGGTCGAGTTCGCCGTCTGTTACAAGGTTGATGGACGTGAGTACTGGGACAGCAATAATGGGAGCAACTACAGGATCATCTGGTCCTCCATGAAGAGGAGCCAGCAGAGCGCCTGCAGCCGCCACTCTGACTTTGGGATTCATTTTGACCAATACGGCAGCCCCACCTGCTCACACGGGATCTTCCCTGATTGGTCGAGTTACGCAGGATATGAGAATAGCGGCCCGTACTACTGAACAGGACGTTTGTGGTGTTTACATCCCACGTTGAGCTTCTGTTGATGTTGCACATCACACACCTGCTGACTCGCCAAAATGTGGACAAACTTCTGAATTATTTTTGTCTTTGTCAGGGGTTACCTGGGGTTACCTCAACGCGAAAATATTATGTAACCTTCCTGTTCCTGTTATGTCATTGCTGCTCGACCTGCTGATGGTTCTTTTCATTTTCAGTTCATCATTTTATTAATTTCTTCATTTATTCTAAGTTTCAGAGATCTTGTTTTGTGCAAGCAGAGGTCCAAAACTCACATATTCAGTTTATTGTGATATAAAACAGAGAAAAACTGAATATGTTTGGCATTTTTGACTTTAAAAAAAGAAAGAAAAAGAAACCATAAATAAATTATTAAATAGTTGCAAATTAATTTTCAGTCAGTCGCCTAATCATTTAACCGACCAATAATTTTATCTCCACACAGCCTTACCTCAAAGTAACGGTTATATTTCCCACCAGTTGCTGCCTCTATAGATGGTTTGAAATAATGGACGTAGCCACAGTGACATCATGGACTCCCGTCTTGCATTTTAGCTGACGCCATCTTGGATTTTTGGAGCCAGAAGTGACCATAAGCTATTCAAAATGCTAGCTGTTAGCTTGGTTAGAATGGTGCACTTACAGCTATGGTTAACAGTGCTAATGCTAATTTTTGCCTGGAAAACACCCAGAAACTTCCGAAGTAGCCACGTTGACATCTCCTGCCTCGAGTTTGCCAAATTGGTCGTTGCCATCTTGGATTTTTGGAGCCACAAGTGACCGTACGCATGGTGCTAACTCTAATGCTAGCTGAGGGTCTTTGATTTTTGGAGCTAGAAGTGGCCATATTTGGACGAAAGGGTGGAGCTAACCATAATCAGCTAATGCTAATTATAGCAAGCATAAATCAAGCTTAAAACCATTAAAACAAAATTTACTTGCCAGAAGAACTGAACATCCAGGTAGATGTAGCCACTGTGACATCAGCCATTGGTTTGTGGACTCCGATTTTTAAGCCTCAAGTTTGGCATTTTGGCCGACACCATCTTGGATTTTTGGAGCTAGAAGTGACCATAGCCAACCCTAATAATAGCTGCTAGCTTGGTTAGCGCAGTGCTTTTGAAGCTATGGTTAACAGTAATGATGCTAATTTTTGCTACTGAAAAACAGGCTTAAAACCATTGAAACAAAATGCACTTTATGTAAACACAGAACAGCCGACAGCCGAATTTTTCAGTTATACCAAATGCTGAACAAGGTGTTTTTAGGTGACCAAAACGTCACAGTAAAAATTTAGCTTCAGCTACACCCGAACCGTGGTTGGGACTTGGCAATGGATGGCACCCACCTCTAAATCAAAGTGGCCACGTCCTTAATTATGCATGACATTAAGCTGTAATAAAATCTAAACGACAGAGTTATATCAAAATTCACCCTCTGTACAGTTGTAATGAATGTTGAAATTATCTAAACTGCTGTAAACATGTTTATTTCTGCTGTAAAGACATTTTAACGTGAGTCTGGGGACTGACTCGCTCTTGGAGCCAGCCTCTAGTGGACATTAGAGGAACTGCAGTTTATTTCTTAGCCCTGGAAGATGCTGCTTCGTCGTCTCAGGTGGTTTCTCAACACAACAGCTGAAGTTGTTCCACCATAAAATGCATCAAATGAGTTTCAGTCCAGTTTGAATCAAATGTGCAATTTCTGTCAATGTATGATTATTTTTTAAAGGCGTTTAAACAAATGTTTACCGTCATGAAATCACTGTGGAATTCTCAGGTTAAATCTGCATCATGTTATTGATTTGAATGAGATCTGAACTTTGAGGAATGTTTCACTGCAGCGACTCTAAAGTTGAACCTTCAGCAGCTTTTATTTGAACAAGCTGATGTGCTGGTTTTGTTTGCACAAGAGAACACTAAAGAGAAACAAGGTTTGCTCATGTAAAACATTAGTTTAGCCAGAGCATTGATTATTTTTTTTGTTTTAAACTTCTTTTTGTGTGTATTTTAACATCAGTGTTGAGGGATCGAATGTGTCTGAATGGGATTTTTTAAGTAGGTGTAATCTCAGAAATGCTGGTCAGTAAAGCCATACATTTAAAGTTCTTACATTTAAAGTTCTTACATTTAAAGTTCTCATTATACGTTTTTAAATGTTTGTGTGTTGTTCAACTGTACAATCTGCTGTCCGAAAAAAACAATAAAATTACATATTTTTATAATCTAAGATCATTATTATGTTCATTTGCACAATTTAACAAAATTAATACCAACAGTGAAAATATACAGGAGGATGGGAGAAACGTCTTAAAGGGGCTTATTGATTACTTTTGATTAAATAATTTAAAACTTAAATTCATATTGTATTTACAAATAAATATTCTGTAAACATTCTGTGTGTTTATGAAGGATCTCACAGCTGAAAACAAACCATTTTATTTGGTTTCAAACTCTTTATTTTGGCCCCAAAGGAAAAAGGTTTGGGTTTCATAGTCCTTTTATTTCAACCCCAATCGCCAGAATAAATGATGGCGTTGTACTTATATGCTAAACAAATGTTTGTTATATTTGCTTCCTGTCTAAACAACACTGTTAAATGTGTGGTTACATTTATGTTCAAAAACCACTTTGTTATGACGAGGAAAAGTTCATATTTTGGCTTGAAATACCGGTTTTGATGGCGCAATCTTGAGTGGGAATGTAGAAATGTCTTGGTAAAGAACAACTGCTGTAACTGCCACTACCTTGGCGGGCAATGCAGCGATGTCTCTGTAAAAAACAACCACTTTTCGTGACACTGTTCCTGCAGAAAGCTCAACAATGTCTTGGTAAAGAACAATCGCCATTTCCCCAGGAAACACAGCGACGCCTCAGTTAATGGGCAGCACTTATACTGCGCCTTTCTAGTCATCGGACCACTCCAAGTACTTTTGCAACACACGGCACATTCACACACACTGGTGGCCGAGGCTACCATACATGGTGCCACCTGCTACTCAGTAACTATTCACACCATTGGGCATAATTTGGAGTTCAGTGTCTTGCCCACGGGTGCTTTGACATGCAGATCGAACTGCTGAGCATCTGATTGGTAGATGACCTGCTTTACCTCTGAGTCACAGCTGCCCCTTGATAAAAATCAACCACTTTTTGTGGCACTATCTCACGCGGCGATTTCACGGTAAAGAAAACGCTTTTCTTGCCCTGATATCGGCAGGGAACGTGGTGATGCCTTTGTAAAGAAAACTGTTTCTTGCCACTATCTTGCCAATGATGCCTCTGTAAAAAATCAACCACATTTCGTGACACTATACCTGCAAAAAACGCAGTGATGTCTTGGTGAACAAGCCACTTTTCTTGGCACTATTTCAGCAGGAAACGCAGCGATGTCCCTCTAAAGAGCGACCACTTTTCGTGGCACTATCCCGGCAGGATAAACAGTGACAGGTTGCTAAAAAAACAAACATATTTGGTGTCTAAAAAGCTGCTTTAAACATCAATGACTCGCTAAATCACACCTGGTTTGTTGGTCGGTCTGCAGCTCTGCGAACGCCTCACCTCGTGTTTCAACGTTCATCAGCTCATATGTGACGTCACTTTAGAAACGCTGATGTGACACGTATAAACATGCAAATGTGACGAATCTGTGGTTTACACAAATGTACAATGTTAACATTTTGTTGTGGCGACCGGGCTGCTGATGTAATGTGTTTAGCTGTTTTCCCGTTTCTCCTTGTTCCACAATAAGCGAGCCCACTGTCACCATGTCGTCTGTGTATTTAACCTGCATGTCTACCCTGCATGCCTCCGCTTTTATGACCCTGAGAAAGTAGGACAGTCTCCTGTGAACGTGGTTCTGAAGCTGCTGTGTTTGCTCTGCAGGTTAAACAGGTTCACTTATGTAATCAGACTGAGCTGTGTGAGCAGAGCTGACAGGAAGTTCCTATATTCCTCTATCTGATCCTGGATCTGGGGGGGAAAAAAACATGATCAAATTTAAGACGTATTTTCAGACACTTTATGAAAAACAGCATCTGATATTTTCTGATTTACTAAGCAGGTGAGAACGAGGCTGCAAAGTTCAAATTCTTTTTTTTTCAGTACTCACCTGAGACAGTAGGAGCCAGAGTGATATTTGTGAATGAATGAGAGCTGACAGAGAGTCCTCCTGATCGAACTTGTGCTGAGATTCATGAATACAACAGTCGTATACAGCAGTAAAATCTAAAGTGTAAAGTGGCGTCCATGTTTCAGTACGATTACAGAAGACGACAAGGAAAAGAACCAGAATTCAGATAAACCAGGCAGACAGCAGTGACGTACGGGTAAAATGGTGATGCAAAAACTGACAAGAGAGCAGGTAGAGGTACAGGTGCAGCTGTAGAGGTGCAGGTACATGGTGGGGGTGTACAGGTGCAGGTGCAGGTAAAGGAAACAGGTGCAGGTGCAAGTAGAGGCGTACAGGTGTGGACAAAGGAAACATTGCAGGTACAAGTACAGGGAAACAGGACAGCTGTACAGGTGCAGGTAAAGGGAACCAGGTATAGGTACAACTATAGCTACAGGTGCAGGTGCAGGCATACAGGTACACCTGGATCGGCGCAGGTGAGGTTACAGGTGCAGGTCTTGTCCTTCACTTTGGTGACAGAAGAGGAGGAGTGTGCTGCACGGTGAATGAGGACTGGTGTGTGTCAGCGGGAATGTGAGGTGCTGTCCTGTTCCTGCTGTGGGTAACAGCTGTAACATTTCACCGTTCAGAAGGAACGACTATACGGCCGTCATGTTGAGGTCGGGATCTGTGGACAGTTCAATTATCCCACAGCCAAAAACCATGGATCACCAGAACCATCCAGAAGTTGTACCTCGCAAACAGATTTATTTTAAGAAACTCTCACATCCTTTCTAAAATAGTTATCAGTCAAACAAGTGCATGAGGAAATGTGGAGAGGAGTCTGCAAACCATGGACACGCATTTTGGAAGTGTCGTCTTGTAGATTATTTCTGGAGGGAGGTACAGTGCCTTCCAAAAGAATTCATACCCCTTGAACTTTTCCACATTTTGTCACGTTACAAGCACAAACTTAACTTATTGGGATTTTATGTGATAGACCAATTGTGAAGTGGAAGGAAAATGATACGTGGTGTTCAAGATTTAGAGTCCACCTGTGTGTCCTTCAGTCTCAGTACAAACACAGCTGTTGTGTGAAGGCCTCAGAGGTTTGCTAGAGAACGTTAGTGAACAAACAGCATCATGCAGACCAAGGAACACACCAGACAGGTCAGAGATACAGTTGTGGAGAAGTTTAAAGCAGGGTTAAGTTATAAAAACATATCCCAGGCTTTGAACATCTCACGGAGCACTGCTCAGTCAATCATCCGAAAATGGAAAGCGTATGGCACAACTGCAAACCTACCAAGACATGGCCATCCACCTAAACTGACAGGCCAGGCAAGGAGAGCATGAATCAGGCAATGGCCCAGTCAAAGTCTGTGGCAAGACTTGAAAATTGCTGTTCACACACGCTCTTCATCCAATCTGACTGAACTGGAGCTGTTTTGCAAAGACGAATGGGCAAAGGTTGCAGTCTCTAGCTGTGCAAAGCTGGTAGAGACATACCCCAGAAGATTTGCACCTGTAATTACAGCGAAAGGTGGCTCGACAAAGTATTGACTCAGGGGGGGCTGAGCACATATGCACTCCACACTATTCAGATTTTTATACCACCACGTATCATTTTCTTTCTACTTCATAATCATGCGCTACTTTGTGTTGGTCTTTCACATAAAATCCCAATAAAATACATTTAAGTTTGTGTTTGTAACGTGACAAAATGTGGAAAAGTTCAAGGGGTATGAATCCTTTTGGAAGACACTGTATGTGATTTACTCAACAAAACATTTGGATTTCAGCCCAGGGACCAGCTGTTGGCCATCGTTGGGGCCAGAGTCTGTGACGAGCAGGAAAAAGAGACACTTCTTACAGCAGCCGAGGAGGTTGTAACAGAACTTATGGCACATGGCAGACGGTAAAAGGTTTGGGGAAACGTTTGTGTTTCAACAATCAATATATTATATCACTGTTATGCCGATGACACCCAGCTCTACCTGTCCACCAGGCCTACCTCCACTCTCCCCCCAAATCACTTTCTGACTGCTTACTGGATATTAAATCATGGCTTTCATGCAACTTTCTCAAACTTAACAGTGATAAAACTGAGGTTCTCCTTATGGGTACCAACTCTACTCTGGCTAAACTGCACAGTTTCACTCTAACCACTGACAACTCCAAAGTCCAGTCATCCTGGACAGTACATTGTCCTGTGAGGCCCACATCCTGTTCTCTGGCAACTTCACTGGCTTCCTGTTGAATATTGGATCGATTTCAAGATTCCGCTTCTCACCTCCAAGCCCCTTCATACCCGTCTGAACTCCTCTTCTGCGCTCCAACCCACATCACCATCTGCCCGCCTGACTACCATGGGTACTAGAGCCTTCAGCCGCTCTGCTCCCCTCCTCTGGAGCTCTCTCCCCCAGGACATTCCCAGTATTGACTCCCTTTCCACTTTCAAATCCCATCTGAAAACACACCTTTTCAAGCTGGCGTACTATCATGATTATTCTATACCTGCTGTTTATAACAATGATTTTGTCGAGTCATTTTATTAACTTTTCTTGTATATTACTGAGTTGTTTGATTTTATGATCTATGGATACATTGCTATTTGTTTTGTTTACTGTGTCTTGTAAGGTGACCTTGAGTGTCCTGAAAGGCGCCTATAAATAAAATGCATTATTATTATCATTATATTGTCAGTAACTCTCTGGAGATATGGACCCCCTGACTTTATTATTTATTATTATTAATTATTATTTAACTTTTGGTATCAGTGGTAACAGGGTAAAGGTAGTATTAGGTTTAATAGACTTTCTTCCCTTTATTATCGTTTTTATTGTTATTTTATTAGTATTGTTTCTTATTTATTATTATTTTTAGTAGTATTTTTCTTGTTTATTGTTAGTTTTAATAGTACTTTTTCCTTTTTCATATTTTTTAGTATTTGTTTTTCTTTTTTCTTATTCATCATTGTTTTTTAGAAGTTTCTTTCTATTTTCTCAATTATTATTTTAATAGTATTTTTTGGTTTTTCGTATTTTTTAGTATTTATTTTTCTTTTTTTTAAATTTATTCTCATTATTGTTAGGATTTTTTCTTGTTTATTATTTTTAATAGTACTTTTTTCTTTTTCCTATTTATTAGTATTTTTCCTTTTTAGTACTTTTTACTACTTAAACGTGTTTCTTTAAATCTGCCCAATAAACTTAAATCAAATCTTTTATATATTTATTCGACTTCCTGCTCATTTGCACGTCACGTCCTGCAGATGGAGACAGAGTCCTCTCTCTGGTGTCTGAGCAGAAACAGAAAAATAAGTCACATTAGTTTTTTATTTTTCTTTCTTTACTGTGTAACTCGGGTTATAATAACCCTTTAATTTACCTGGAGCATTTGTTTATACATGTTGAACCTCTTTAAAGTCTAAAGTTATATTTATATTTTAATAAAATCAATACCTGGCGCTATGAGAGAGTCTTTAAAGCCATGAATGTGTTTCTTTAATTTACTGCTGCATCTCTTTGCTGATTTAAAAACCAAGTTTGACCTGGTCAGAACAATCACTTTCCCCTCTGTGCTTCCTCCTCCTCCTCCTCCTCCTCCTCCTCCTCTCTCAGCAGCAGGGAGGAGACAGGGAGGAGAAAGGGAGGAGGAGGGCTCAGAGATCTGACGCAGTGTGAGCGGCTGCTTCACTTCCACTCCCCGCTCCCAGGAAGAGACCCAGCGGCTCGGGAAGCTCCCACAAACACTCGGATAAACCCGGGCACAGAGCTCCAGAGGTCGGGCTGTGGAGGCCATGAGGACCCCGGTGAGGCACGGAGCGCAGCCGCGGCACCGGAGCTCGGATCGGGGCACGGAGCCGGAGCTGTAACCGCGGAGGTTTGTTGTCATTGTGTGCAGAGTGGCGCAGGAGAAAAGGATGCCTCCGCGGCCGCAGACACTCCTCCTGCTCCCGTCGACTAGATTCATTATTGCCCGACACAAACTGTCCTTTGTCTCCTCTGTGACGGAGGCTCTGCTGCTGAGGAGCGCGCTGATTTGTGAAGCACACCGTCCACCATGCTGCCCGCTCCGTCTCCATGAAAACTCTCCATGATAACAGGGAGGAAGAGGAGGAGGAGGAGGGTTCCGGCTGCAGCGCCATGGAGGACAAGGAGAACAATCTGAGGACGGCCAGGTTGTGGAGGGATGCCGCCCTCCGCTCCAGGAAGCTGCGGAGCAACCTGCGCCAGCTCACCCTCTGCTCCAAAGACAACCAGATCATACTGCCGGAGGATATAGCCGAGATAGAGGTGCTCAACCTGGGCAACAACTCCCTCCAGGAGCTGCCAGACGGGCTGGGATCCTCCCTCAACAACCTGCGCATCCTCGTCCTCCGCAGGAACAAGTTCACCTCTGTCCCGCGGGTGGTGTTTGAGCTGGGGCAGCTGGTGGAGCTGGACATGAGCCACAACTGCCTGAGGAGCCTGTCTGAGGGTGTGGGGCAGCTGAAGGGGCTCAAGAAGCTATGCATCAGTCACAATAAAATCCAGAGCCTGCCCGCTCAGATCGGGGCGCTTCAGGTCCTGGAGGAGCTCGACATCAGCTTCAACGACCTGTACGACTTCCCCGGGTCTTTCTCCAGCCTCACCAAGCTGCGGACTCTGGATGCAGATCACAACAAGCTGAACCAGTTCCCCCCTGAGATCCTGGCTCTCAGCGAGCTGGAGGAGCTGGACTGCTCCGGGAACAAGTTTGAGGTGTTACCAGCCGACGTCATGAAGCTGCAGTCCATCAAGATCCTGTGGCTCAGCAGTCTTCACATGTCCACGTTACCGGACACGTTCTGTCAGCTGCAGCACCTGGAGAGCCTGATGCTGGACGGGAACGAGCTCACGGCGCTGCCTGCTGCTTTCAGCCGCCTGCAGAGACTCAAGATGATTAATTTGTCCTCTAATGAGTTTGAGAACTTCCCCCAGGTTATTTTGAGCATCACAGGGTTAGAGGAAATTTACCTGAGCAGGAACAAACTGACTCATATCCCAGAGGAAGTGGGGCAGCTGGTGAAGCTGGCCAACCTCTGGCTGGACAACAACAGCATCAACTACCTGCCTGACTCCATCGTGGAGCTGGAGAAGCTGGAGGAGCTCGTTTTACAGGGTAACCAAATAGCCATACTTCCAGATAACTTTGGGAAGCTGTCCAAAGTCAGCATTTGGAAGGTGAAGGACAACCCTCTCATCCAGCCTCCGTACGAGGTGTGCATGAAGGGGATCCCGTACATCGCAGCCTATCAGAAGGAGCTGGCTCATTCGCAGCTCGCTGTGAAGCCGCGGTTGAAACTGGTCCTGATGGGGACAAAAAACGCTGGGAAGACCCGGCTGAGGCAGAGCGTGGTGAGCAATCAGCAGGACGCTAAAGGCGTCCAGGGGAACAAAGGAATCGAAGTGACTAACTGGGTGGCGGACGCTGATCGCTGTCTCACGTTTCTCGTGTATGATCTGTCAGGGAAGCAAAACTACGACCTCATCAAACCCTTTTTTCTCTCCCCTGGTGCTCTCTACGTCCTCGTCATCAATCTCAAAGCATACTCACCCAAGAACTTTTACGCCCATGTTGGGTATTTCCTCCACCTCCTCAGTGCCAAAGTACCCCACGCCGTTGTGTGCTTGGTGGGCACGCATGCAGACCTGTGTGGGGAGGTGGAGCTGGAGGAGAAGAGTCTGGACATTCACAGGCAGATCGGCCTGCAGGAGAAGAGGGACATCCAGGTCCTGAGGAGCCTGGCTCTGCAGGTGGACCAGGCGCTGGAGCAGGGCTACAACGTCCGCTCCTTTAGCCCTCACGTCCTCTTCTACGCCGTCTCAGACAGGAACCTGAGGCGGAGGAAGTCCCAGCTGCAGTACATGCTGAACCACCGGCTGCAGATCCTGTCTCCTGTGCTGAGCGTCAGCTGCACGGAGACCCAGAGGAACATCCAGAGGCTGAGGGAGAAGCTCATGTCCGTTGCTGACCACAGGGACATCTTCCCCAACCTCCACCGCGTGCTGCCAAAGTCCTGGCAGATGCTGGAGGAGCTGCACTTTAAGCCCAAAGACCTGTGGCTGTCGTGGTGGGACTCAGCCCGTCTGGGCCTGCAGGCGGGGCTCACGGAGGACCGGCTGCAGAGCGCCTTATCCTACCTGCACGAGAGCGGGAAGCTGCTGTACTTTGAGGACAGCATCACTCTGAAGGAATATGTTTTCCACAATCTTCCACGATTCATTGCAATTCTCAACGTCTTCTTCCAGAGGGACGAGTCCTCGCTGCTGGACAGGCTCCTGTCGGAGGGGGAGAGGGGGGACAAAGGGAGGGTGAGTCTGGTCATAGAGGACGAGAAGGGAGAGAACCTCAGGGTGACCCATCTGCAGCACCACGTGGAGGGCTTCCTCCAACACGGCCTTCTGCCCTCCAACGTCATCCGCCTGCTCCTCAGGCCGCTCATCCAGACCCAGCAGGACCTCCACCTCATCATGGAGCTGCTGGAGAAGATGGGGATCTGCTACTGCATCAACAAACCCCGCAGCAAGCCCCTGAACGGAGCCACGGCCTGGTACAAGTTCCCCAGCTACGTCAGCAGCGAGGAGCCCCGGGCGGAGGCCTCGGCCGGCGGGAGCTCTCTGCCGCTGTGTCACTTCTTCTCCGTGGAGCAGCTGCACATCCAGTACAGCTTCCCCTTCCTGTTTCCTCCCGGACTGTTTGCACGCTTCAGTGTGCAGATAAACAGCCACGTGGTGCAGAGGTCGGACGGCAGGCATCAGATCTTCGCCTACAGAGGTAAAGTCCCCGTGGTGATCAGCCACCGGCCCTCCAAAGGGAAGCTGCAGGTGGAGACTCTGTCCATCGCCAGCCACGCCTCGCTGCCCAACATCTGGACGGCGTGGCAGGCCATCACTCCGCTGGTGGAGGAGCTGAACGTGCTGCTGCAGGAGTGGCCCGGCCTGCACTACTCTGTACATATTCTCTGTTCCAAGTGCCTGAAGAGAGGGTCGTCCAACCCACACGCCTTTCCAGGTAAAACACCTTTAACTCTTCTTCTTCTCCATCTCCTGCTTTGTCTGTCTGCTCTTCATCAGGCTGGGTCTTTACTGAATATAAATTTACCAAGAACACAAAACAAAACAAATCATCAACGCTCTGTGGGTGCAAACTATCTGACAGGAAAGATTTTAATTATTATTTTCTATTTTTATTCTCTGGATTCATTATTTTGCCTATAAATTGTCAGAATATTTGTTTCCTCTCAGAGAAGGTGGATTTTAAAGAAGGATGGTGATGATGTTGTTTTGTGTGTTTGTATCTATGGTGATCTGCAGGTCACATGACGGATGAACGCGCCGTGTACAATATAAAGAAACCTGAAACTGGTTGAGGAGAGTTTAAAGTTGATTAACTGGTATTGAAGCTCACACTGGTCTGAACCTGTGTGTGTGTGTGTGTGTGTGTGTGTGTGTGTGTGTGTGAGTGATGACTGTAATTTGACAAAAGCCCTCGACAGGAAATCATTGCAGTATCATCGCTTTGATTTACTCGTTAAATATAAAATGTGACACCTCTGTTTTGTACCCAAACGTCAGTTTAGTGCTGAAGGTAATTTATGACGTCTGAGGAGCTTCGTCCAGCTCTGCTCTGAGCAAATGAGCCGACCAGAACAAATGTTTGATCGTACATTTCTGCAAACCACAGAAACAAAACGTCACAGCTGTGCGTCATTATGTAGCAGACACGTTGTAACTTTACATTTCTATACATTTCAGAAACATTGTGGTTAACGTGTAGTTATGTGATGTTTCTGCTGGAAACATAACAATGACTTCTTTTCATGGCACTATCTAGGCAGGAAAACCAGCGACAGGTTGCTAAAAAGCTGCTGCAAACACAGCAACAAGTCAGTAAAAAAACAACCACTTCTTGTAGCAAAATTCTGTCAAGAAATGCAGCGATGTCTCTTTAACTTTTTGTGTCAGCATATCCGCCAGAAATTCAGCTATGTCACAGTAAAAAAACACTGCTTTCTGTAGTTCTATCCAGTCAGGAAATGCAGCAATATCTTTGTAAAAAACAACTGCTCTTCGTGGCACTATCCCTGCAGGAAACACAGTAACAGATTGCTAAAAACACTCATGTTTGGTGGCTAAAAAGTCGCCGGAAACACAGCAACAGGTCGGTAAAAAACAAGCACTTCTTGTAGCAAAGTCTCCGCTGGAAATCAAGCGATGTCACGGTAAAATACAACAGCTTTTCTTGACACTGTCCCAGCAGGAAATACAGCAATGTCTCGGCTAAAAAAATTACATTTTTTATGACACTATCCGGGCAGGAAATTTTGTGATTTTGTTGGTACAGTCCTGGCTGGAAAAACAGACAGGTGGCTAAAACACACTCATGTTTGGTGGCTGAAAAGCAGCTGGAAACACAGCAACAAGTCGGTAAAAATCAGCTGCTTTTTGTGGCACAATCCTGGCTGGAAACTCAGTGATGATGTGTCGCTAAAAACCAACTGCTTTTGTTGTTTCTTGGTGTTGACCAGTGGTCTGCAGTTTGGCAGGCGTCTCGCCAAGATGTCATACCATCCACCATCCCCTCCACCTCCTGATGACAAAATATGTCAGCATACTCAAAATCAACATTTGTATTTTGTTCAAAACTTCTTTTCAGTGTGTGCGTTTAAAAGTTGCAGTTTTATTATGAATTTTAAATCAAATTTTCCAGTTTCCTTGTGAGACATAGGGAGTAAACTCTGTTCATACACAGCTCAGCACATGACCGTCAGAGTGTTAGTCATGTCTACCAGACGTAAGTATAGAAGCATCTTAATTCCTTAAAATGAGCTGACTGTTGTGACTCTGAGCCACGTTTGTGTTTTGACTGTTGAAACGAGCGTCTTCAGCTCTTATCGATCAGATCCAATCACACTGACTCAAAACAAGCGTTCATAAAAGATGCAGAGGATGAGTCCTTCTGCCGGGAAGCCCGGTCAGTGTCAGTGTGTGTGTGCAGGCTGAACAAAGACCGCTGCTGCTGATATGAGATCAGACAGGGTGGAGGAAGAGGAGGAGGAGGAGGAGGAGGAAGAGGAGGAGGAGGAGGAGGATGATACAGGAGTAAACAGAGATAATCCTCGGTGCTGGTTGTGATGGATGAGGTCGTCATGGCAGCTTGACCTGCTTTCACTGTTTGTCTCAGACAGTAGTGAGGACGTGTAAGTGCTCTGTAACAGTATGATGTCATGTGATGCATCAGAGCGCTGCAGGGATGACGTTTATCTGTCAGCTGACCTGGAAGTTGGCGTCGCCCTGGTTCCCTCGTCAAAAATCCAAAATGATTTTTTCACGTCATTTTGGATCAGAAAATAAACTCAGTGGTAAACATAAAGTTTTTCAAGAGCAGCCTGTTTTCTGCTGTTTTCACCGTCCTTAAAAAACGACTGATGTTCCCCGACAGTGATCAGCTCAGGCAACTTCAGGTTACGTGAGTTGTTGCAAGATAATCTTCACTAACACAGTTTGATGAGTTTTAAAGTCGAGATGAAAATGCCAGAATAAAAAATTAACATTAAGTTATAAACCCCACGGTCACATGACTTCACGTCTCCACGACGAGGCCGTAAAGCCGTGATGGCGTGAGGACATTTTGTACACTCATTTAGCCTTTTTTTAGGACACATAAAAACACCTCTGGACAGATCCAGGCTAGCAGTTTCCATCTGTTTGCAGTCTTTATGCTAAGCTAAGCTAACCAGCTGCAGAGTGGTATAAGTCTGAACTCTCAGAGAGGAAGAAAAGAAGATGATGACACGATGAAGGTCGTGAAAGTTCAGTAAAGTGCTCCGGAGCTCTCTGCAGGATTCCTCTGATTAATTTTATTTTGCTGTTGATGTATTTTTGTTCCACACAGTGTCTCCGTCCGTCCTCTCTCTGCGGGTTACTTCCTGTCTGCAGAGTCGTTGTCGAGGCACTCAGGTTTTTTAAGAGCTTTTATTGTGGCGAGCTGATGTGATTACACTGATAGCTAATCTATAACACAACATCAGAGTCTGTCTGCAGCAGCCTCTGAGCTCTGCGGGGATCTGATGGAGTTTTTATGCACCTTTGGAGATAAAACGAACATATGAGGGATGTTCGAGCTGATTTCTGTTCGCCTTAAACTAACAATCTTATGTCTTATTTTCAAACCATCAACATGTGGGGTGTTTCTGGTGCCAGGCAGAAAATGGTGCAAAGCGTGTCACTGTGTTGGCGTCTGACCCTCGACGTGATAAAATAGCCTGAGTGTGATAACAGCCGCGATGTGTAATGAATCATTTTATAACTGGACTCAGATCTGCCGCCTGATAACAGAGGAACTCTCTCTGCTCCGGCAGGATCAGGAAGCACTTTGTTGTTCCTCTCAGGAGGGGGCGAAGAAAGCAAACAGATTCTTATCAGGTTTTGTTCCCAGGCTGCAGCTGTGGAGGAGTTTCCTCGCTGTGTTCATGGAAGTCGGACGCTCAGAGTTTAGAAACGTCGACTTCCAGAATGAAGTTTAAACTGCAGAGATAGGAAACGTGCTCAGTGTTCAGAGCGTCGGAGGAAGAAGGTTTGTTGATGATTAGAAAGTCAAGCATGGAAGTTCTCAGTGTACAACGGCTCCTGGCATTGATTTACTCTAAGTCAAGTCAAAAGTAATAAAAACCTGTTAAATGTCGGGCGCACCAGTGAAAATGTTTAGAAGCACTTGAGAGGTTTTTGGTTATACTGTACTTGTTACCGCATTCATCTGTAGTTACTGTACAGATTCAGATTATTAACACAAAATATAATCAACTAATAAATGATGATGTATTTTTTAGGGCACGTCACACACTGAGCGAGCCGCCTGTTAATGACGCTGTGGGCTAATGGGCATGTAGCTACTTCCATGTTTCAGATGATACGTCATGTTTGTAGTCGACCAATGAAGATGAGTTTACATATCACCTTGGGTTCGTCCTTCACCTTCTCAAAATGATCCCACACTTTGGATTTCCTGCCCGACATGTTATTAACTAGCCTGTGGAATAACCGCAGGTACCAGCCCTGGAAATTAGGGGCTGTACACATGCCACGTCTTTAACCACCAGCTTTTGTGCCAGCTTTCAAGAGCCCTGCAGCAGGTTGCATCTGAGGTTGCTAAGCAACCTGAACAAGCATCATATAGCCTATTTACCTGAAATCCTGAGAGCAGAGCTTANTGGAATAACCGCAGGTACCAGCCCTGGAAATTAACCTGACGAGGACACTTCCTGTGTCTGTCCTTTCAAAGTAAAGTCACACATGCTCCAGTCATATAGGTTTGGATTTATTTTTAAGAGGAGCAGCTCCTGATAGAGTTTCATGTTTTGTTTTTTTCTCTGCGACTAAGCGACCAATGAAATCTTGCCGACTAATGACCTTTCTGGTCGACTAACATTTGGTCGACTGTCAGGGGGCGGCCTTAATATTTTTATCGATGAATCTACCCAGCAGTTTATAAAGTCATTAAAACGAGCTCCATCTTTACCAGAACTCATTTATGCATCAATAACTATAATATAGAATATATAGTTATATATTCTGCACAATGAATACTTTTACTTTTTGTCCTTTAAGTACATTTGATGCTGATACTTTTGTACTTAAGTAAAATTTTGACCTTAACTTGAGTTTCACTCCACTGTAGTGTTTGTAGGAGCGGGAAAAATCGATCCAGCACAGTATCGTGATATTTTTGTGTGGCAAAATCATATCGTCCCACGGTGACTAGAGAGTTTGCAAACACAAACACACATTTAATCAGGTCCAGTTATCACACAGAAGAAGAATCTGAAAATACAAATATGACAAAGGTAGAAAGGGTTAATATCAGAGTTCACAAGACAAGACATGCAGGTACGCTCACATCTCTCAGTAATCCTTTGTGTTATTTCTTTGAGTACACACACACACACACACACACACCTTTGCACGCAGAGCTCTGTGTTTGTCCTTTTATGGACATGAGACTCTGGCTGCAGA